CGCTGGCGGCGGAGAGAGGCCGCTTGTGTAACGTAGGGCGTTTCCGAGCTCCGCCCTGCAACCAGAGCACAGTGCGACGCCGCGCCGCCCGCCCGCCACGCCAACGCATTCCAACGAACATTCTGGAGATACCGCAGCAAGTCAAACAATTCGACCAAATGACGGGCACTGCTTGCGATTATTATGTTTTATTTATGATTAGCACGAGATCAAACGGGGCATTCCAACGAACATCTTGGAAAATACGCAGCAAGTTCTAACAATTTTGGCCAAAGCGGGCCTGCTTCCGATATATTATTTTCGTTGTGGATTTGACCCGAGATTTAATCTGCGGAACGTTTGCTTGCGATTTATTATGTATGTATTATGATTAGCACGAGAAATCAAACAGGACATTCCAACGAACATTCTTGGAGGTACGCAGCAAGTCTAACAGCCAATGTCAATGATCGTGCCAATGGCAGGCATGCGGTGTACGTATTATGTCATGACTGACATGAGAATTTAGACGTACCGGTACGTCTGACTGCTGTGTATCATGCTTTTTTCTTATATAGATAGATTTATTATTTCTGCAGGTAGGTATAGAACCTGCTGGTAGAACACTACAATTTACATATTACAACTAAGAATACTATATCTTTAACCTAACATGAAGAAACTACAGGAGATTCGCATTCGCATATATAGTGAAGCTATTGGGATTTTTTAAAGTGAAAAATTTAACAATTGGTGAGGAATTCACTCTTGTTTTAGAATACACTGCCATGTCGCATTAAGAGACAGTGCGCGAATTCTCTAGAGAAAGATGGATTAAATGGCCGTCGCTGATTACACTGATTTGGACGACTATCATCGCTGAGGGAGAGAAATGTTATGTACTTTGTCTTTTACAAATGTGAAAATTAGAGTAAATTGTTCAGTAATGAAATAAATATAAACTTCAAAATATGTTTTGAATGCATAAGATTATAAAATTAACTTTTAAATACATGAACACGCGTTGAATTATTGCACTTAAATACCACTAGTGGGATTCTTACAAACATCTTTCTAAATCATTACATTAGAAGTGAAAATAGCTTCAAGTTTGAACATATCTCTCATCCCGTTTTTCTCTGTAGAGAACTCCTCCAAAACTGTTAAAGAAAATCCAAAAAGGATTCATATTGTTTATTATGTCTTAAAAAAACATAACTCTTCTCTACGCAGGGTCACTAAAATCTACTTGGAAAGATCTATGACGCATAATTTCCGAATTTCGAACGATGTGTATTGCTGGTTGCATCTACGCCTGCCTGTTCCTTACACATTTTGCTGGAAACTTTTATTTTTGTGGTCTTAAATCTGTTTGATGCCCGACATTAAGGTATTTCCGTATCCATATGTAGCACTCTGACGGCGATAGTTTGTTTAAAACAGTACAAAGCCGTTATCGCTAGTAGTGCATTGTATGTAGAGCGAATACAGGCATTTTATAGCGTTTTATTAACATGTTCGCCCAGAGGTCAGAGCAGTCTCTTATAGGCCCAGTGGATCCTGTCATGACACGTTGCGCAAACACGCAATCAGCAGCCGGGCAGCCTTTTGGACCGCGGCGCCGGAGAAGCAGGTGGCGACCCATCGCGCGCGCGCGTGGCGTCTCTGGGCGTCGGCGACGGCCTCGCCACGCGACGCGCGGATCGCGGCCTGAGAGGGGCAAGGGGGGGGCAGCGGTGGACGTAAGAGCGGGATGCCGGTGCGCGTGGGACGTGTGCAGGGCGCGCCCTTGAACGGCACTGCACCTGCCGCCTGGGCCCTCGGAGAAAGCTGCTGCGGAGCGGAGCGGAGCGGCGTGGCGCTGGGCGCATACGCGTGCGGGTCGGTCTCTCAGCCGCCGCCGCCGCCGCCGCCGCCACTTCTGAAACTGCCACCGACGATTCGCGGCGGCCTCATAGCCAACTGATTTGCCCGATCGACGCCGTGGATTTTTAAGGGGGCGAAAAAATCCTTCGTACGCCTTCCTTCGGAGGGGAAGTAAAGCCGGCTGTCCCATGTTAGTGGATTTACTTGCATGTAAAAGATCCTCTAGTCTAAATGAAGCCTCTGAGCTAAATTCAAATCGCCTATTTCTCGTCCAAGAAATGCCTCCTTCCTGTGCTAGCTGGTGAAAGGAGAGCGTAGCGAAATTTGCGTGGTCAGATGGAAGAGCGGGCCTCATGACCTAAGTCTCGCCACGTAAAATAAGGCATCAATTCAATTCAACTGAGGGAGGTCATCTCCGAGATTCGTGGGCCAAAAATTGTTGCGTTGCCGAACACGATATTTACACAAGATGCAGAGAAAACGTGGATTCACTCAAGAATCAGAACCAGCAGAAAGTATCATTGAATAAATTGTTCCGAGGAGATATCCAGAAGCTCGCCCACTAACGACCCAGGCAGTAGAATCCAATATAGTTTATATTATTTTCTTTGTATTTGGATTTCAAATTGCTCATAAGACTAGCATGCATTACCTTCATCGCCAACTAACTTGAAATTTATTTCTGATCCTTCTGGTCCACCTTGTATGTCACCTAGAGATTTCCCCTGCCACTACACACCCACATCCCCCTGCCTCATTCCTTCCTTCCTCCATTTTCGATCTCTCCTCTATCTCAGCAGCGTCTTGCACCTCCACATCTATTTCCTTGTTTTCCTCTGCCTTTTACACCACCTACATTTCCATGTCTTAAATCTCCTACTACATTACTATGTCTAAGCTTTTTAATCACGAGATTTCAGAACTGTTGTTGCATTGGTTAGTGAAATGCAGTCGAATACCTATGTAAAAGAAGCTAGGAATGCCACACACTCTTGCACAGCTGGTATTTAACTCGCGCATGAGCACAAACGTCTCAAGACCTAATTTCAGATTTATTTAGCCTTTCGACGTTTGCAAAATCATCGCAACAGTAAAATCGAAGTGTAGATTACCTAATTAAAAATGATGTTAGCAAAAACAATGGATCTTTCTTGTTCTCGACAACAACTCACCTCGCCCTCCGTTTTCCTGCCTGTACTAGTTACATACATTTCTCCCTCTGTCCATCCACACTTCTTACAATGCCTTCTTCTTCAGTGTTGGCCTTTACAACAACCACAACCTCCTTCTGCTTGTCAAGATCAAGGCAACCTATTTTATGATTATCTTAAAACAGTCGAATATTGTCAAATACTTCATCTATCCGCGAATCTTCCGAAAGTTAGAAGGGCTGAGGCTAGGATGGGGAGTACCCTGATATTGGTGCAGAAGTCCTGTGAGTGCAGTTAGAGATTAGTAATAATTATCACGAGTTATTTATTTTATTCAGTTGTCTAAAAATATATTCTACAAATTGACACAAATTATGTCGAATTTCGTGTGAAAATATTGAGTTTTTTTTCCTCGCGCCGATATGCCGTGTGTGCCCTTATTGGTCACTGAACAATTAATTTGACTAGCATATCTCGTGAGTACATCGTGGCGATCGTGCATTAAAGGATAGGGGCCAGAGTACTCCTAGATGATGTTGACACAGGTGGGCTCGTAATCGCGCACCAGTTTCATCCTTGCTCGCAAAACCTACTGGCGATGGGGAAGGAATTAAAGAGAGGATTTGAAGGAAAAGCGCTAGAAATGCCACACACTCTTTCACAGCTGAAATTTAACACCTACGAGAGCGCAAACTCCTCAAGACATACCCGCCATCAAGTCCGGCTAGGAATGGAAGGATGATCGATAGGAGAAACATGGAGAATGCCAAACACACACACACACTCACATCCATGCCGAAGGAAGGATAGCACGTCACACACAGTTCTTAACTGTTTTTGACGTAAATAAATAAATAAATAAATAAATAGATAAGGATTCGAACCCGCGACCCTTCTGAGTCTGCTAAGGCGCGTGGCCAGGTCCAGACCTGTGTTTCATTACTTCCTTCCACGCGACCGCGTTCTCCATTCCCGCCCTCCTCCCCCTTCTCCTGGGGTACACGTACAGCGTCCTTCGCTCCACGTGGCAGCGCAAGGCCGTCGGCGGCAGGTGCAGCGCTGGATGGGCGCCGCGACGATTTCTCCTGCTCCTCCTCCCTCCACCCCCAACCCCACCTCTCTCCCTCCGCTGCGACGGAGTCATACCGCGTCTAATGTATGCACAGGCAGAGCACTTGCTTTGCGTTCGGAATGTCCACACGGCGCCCCGCCAGCGTTGCGCAACGCAAGTCCCACGATCAGAACGGAGTGGCGTGACTGACAACGCTGGCATCCCCTTGCGAAAACGTCTATGAGACTTGCCTTTAAGTTCTTCGGGTTTGTAAGCATGCCGACAATTAAAATAAAAAATAATAAATTACAATGTGCAAGAACAATTCCAAAATGAAATTTAGATTTGAATTCATATTATCACAGTCGAAACTGAACAATTAAGTAAGCTGTTATGAAAGATGCCTTTAGCGTTTCTGTAGGAAGATATGGTGGCTTTATTATTCTGTAATTTTTTTTGTAGTCCTTCCTTCATTACATGTGGCACATGTCACGAATTTTAAATGTATAGTACACACTGAGGATGACAAGTTACTTGGTTAGAATTGACTTTTCCAAATCATGTTTGCCATTCCTCTGTTGTGTGGGGATATCTTTTTTTTATGTGGGAGTTTTATGTGTTGAATTCCCCAAAGTATGTTGTCTTTACCAATAAGATTATTGCTTAATTGGAAATTATTTCACCCATTTTATACTTATCATCCGTACGCTGTCCCTTGTGATCATAATGCACATATTAGAAGCGGTTACTCAAAGGTCATTATGGATCCTTCAATGAAGCCACTGGGTACCAGCTACCGATCAGGATTCATACCCCAATAGAAGTAGGGTTGATGATCTCCCCCGTTTATGATTACCTTTGTTCTACAGCCCACACTCACTCCCTTTTTTACTTCCGGTATCTTCTTATGATTTAAGTATTGCAGCATTATTAGCATATTATTCAAACACATTATTTCAAATGCAAAATATTCTAGAAATCTTAATTTAAAAAAGCCAATGGCCGTACGTCTGGATGTGTTATGAGATTTAACTTTGGCCTTGCGTACTTTCTAAATTCGAATCGAAATCGAATGGCTCGCGTCTAGTAGAAACTTGCTTCCGCGTCCAAAAACGCTGAGCGAAAGGGTTGTGAGTCCGAGCTTCAAGTAAAAAATATTTGATGTGATCGTGTAGGCTTCCGTGATCGGAGTAAGTAGAGTTTTGTCTGCCTAGGGAAGTCCACGTTCTTGACGCAGTTGAAAAGTTTCGGCCGCCAAACTACGACTTTCGCATTTCGCCCTGAGGAAGCTCGCAGTATGACTTCCCAACCCTTACCAAATGTGCCTACGAAAGGCGTCTACCGACTGTCAAGAACCCCTGTTCGTACCACGCGCTTGAGGCATGATTGCTGTTTTCATTCTACCACCATCGCATCCAAGCATTCCATCTGATCATCATTCCGTTCAGTATCATTCGATTTCAGGAGGTTCGAGGCGGATGTTCGATACTAGCTGGGTCGAATTCAGTCGCTGTCTTAGAAGAATTCTAGCGCTCGGCTGCACTGATCGGTAGTTTCTCTGATCAGTATCAGGCCGAATGCCGGAGTAGTACCGTAACAAAGGGCCATGAACCGCGTGTGATCACTCATTCCATTTCCTTGTCCTATCATTTACACACACACACACGCAGTACACTACCACACCTGTCGTAAGCTTAGAGCTTGTCTCGACGGGGGTGTGCAAGGTGGTGGTGACTGGAGAGTGGAAATCCTCCACAAGCCGACATATAGTATGGTACTGAATCGCGTCATCCAATGGATGAGGAAAACCGCCGTCTCTCGGCATCAAACGTACACTAACGGGACTAATGACAGCACGAGTCGACTTTCCCGGAAACATTCAATCCACAATTATTAACCATGAATATCACTTCATGATGACCCTTCCATTCTTCATTAGAAGAAGCAGTCCAAGTTAATGGCGAACTATCATCGTGACCATAAAGGCATATGCCCCCTCGCTGGCCCGCGCTCACAAGATAGCACACCTTTCTCCCCACGGAATCTGATGCTGCTGTCAGAGGAAGTGTCCCGGTCTGAGTGGGCCAGTGTTTGGCGTTCGGCGGTGGACAGCCGATTGATTCTGCAGAATGTAAATGGTCTCTCGATAAACGACAGCTGCAGACCTCACGTTTACGTGACTGCTAAAGGAAGCGGAGAGATAAAAACTGCTCACCGAGTGCTATGTCTGATATAAGAAGATATTTTTAAAAGGAGCATTACATTTCTTCACTTCGCAAGCGAGATTAGGTTCATCTTTTGCATAAATTATCAGCAACAGATTTTGCCCATTTTTTCTGAAATTTTTCCATAATTTCTTGGTGATGTCTCAGCTGCTGTATCTTTATTGTGAAGTTTTCCATAGTGCGTGTGGTTCATACATTTCCGAAGTAATTTTTCCAACGTCCGTGTCGTCTAGCACAGTTCAGCCGAAGAATTCAAGATCATTTGATACTGTTCTGTTCTGTCAGCATCACTTTAAAAGTGTTCACCAGTGTGCGTTGGACGCAGAGAAATCCTTGATTCTTGCGCTCTAGCCAAAGTGTTTGATATATTCGGTGGTAAAAGATCGTGTTCGCTATGAAAAACTCTTTCGGCCGGAGAGAGTAGTTTTTAGGGATAGCAAACAAGACATCTATATCTTTACAACATCGATATTTTCGAGCAGAAACATCTATATTATAGCATCGTTGTTTTGCTGTCCACGTTTTCTTCTTATCAATATATTTGTCCAGAAACATCGAAGTTTTCACAAAAATCTCATGAAATAAATAAAATTACCAGTTTCTAGTTTATTTTTGATTTGCTCGCAATCAACAGCCATTGACAACTGTCACTGTTGTCGACCCGCTGGCGGCACGAAACCGTTTGCTATTCACAAACTTTCTCTAGTGTTGTTACCGTTCTTGATTATTTTCGACATGATAATACCGTTAAACTGCAATTTGAACATTGATTACATTGAACATCGGTTAGAAAATTAAGATGACAGTAGAATATATTTTAAACTAATATTGACATGTTATGTATCACATTATAACTGGGACATGTTACTTCAAATTGTTATTTAAATATTAATTTATATTTAAATAAATTCAATTTTGTTTTAATATTATTTAAAACATACATATTTTAAACTTCAATGCTTTTTCTCTCGATGTTTTATAGACTTAGAAAACCTTTTGGTGATATAACGATGTTTTGCTAAAAACTTCGATGACTTTGTGTTGATGTATTCGTCATCATCAAAATCGTTTTGGTGATGTATTGATGTTTTGCTAAAAACTTCGATGACTTGTTGATGTTTTCGTCATCATGGAAAACCCTTTGGTGATGTATCGATGTTTGGCTAAAAAATTCGATGATTTTTTGTGGATGTTTCTATTGACATCGAAATCCTTTTGGTGTTTCCTAACGCGTGCGTGCCGCGTGGTGTGTTGCAGTGGCGCGCGGGATGGTGGAGGCGGTGCGCACGCAGCCCGGGCGCGCGCACAGCCAGGTGCACGTGGTGGCCAACGCCGTGCTGCGCCAGGCGGCGCCCGTCTTCACCGACGTCACGCCGCTCGCCAAGGTAAGCACGCGCACGCCTTCCGCCCGCTCCATGGGGCGAGGCGTCACGTCGCATTGCGTGGAGGTGCGCTTTGCTCCTTTGGGATGTATCTGGGTTACTAATTTCCAATGTGCACAGCAATTGAAAGAACAGGGACTCTCTCACAACCTCTCTCTCTCTTTCGCACTGGCTCACTCCCTCTCTCGCACTCACTCACTCTCGCACTCGCTCTCTCACACTCAGTTAGTCACTCTCACTCATTGTCACTCACTCTTACTCATTCCCTCACTCACTTATACACACTCCCTCTCATTCCCTCCCTCTCATTCCCTCCCTCTCATTCCCTCCCTCTCCCTCACTCCCTCTCCCTCTCTCCCTCTCACTCACTCCCTCTCACTCACGCCCTCTCACTCACTCACACTCACTCCTTCCCTCTCACTCTCTCACTCCCACTCACTTCCGTCCCTCTCTCTCTCAACTCTCTCTCATCCTCTCTCACTGCCCTCTCTCTCTCTCACTCCCTCTCGTCTCACTCCCTTCTCTCTCACTCCCTCTCTTCACTCCCTCTCTCTCACTCGTCTCTCCTCCTCTCTCATCCCTTTCCACTCCTCCTCTCACTCCCTCTCCGCACTCCTCTCCTCACTCCCTCCATCCCTCACTCCCTCTCCTCTCCACTCTCCTCCACTCCCTCCTTCTTCACTCCCACCTTCTCACTCCCACCCTCTCACTCACTCCCTCTCACTCACTCAACATCCTCTCACCCACTCTCAACTCTCTATTACTCACGTGTCTCTGTCTGGAGCAGCTCCCTCTGTCTGTTTTTCTGTCTTTCAAAACACAGACAGGCAGCACTCATACCCATACAAGCGACTACACTTCCCGAGATATCAGTCGAAAGCTTAGAAACTTGACCGGTTGGGCGATGCCCCACTGGGACAAGAGCACCTAGGTGATATGGGAAACCGCAATCCAAGACGTGTTATTTCAGCACGGATCTCACGTATTCAACGAGGGGTACTGGAAATAAGACACACACTACATTTTGCTGAACAATAATACAAGGTAGTTCAACGCCCGCCAAACTCAGAACAGAGCCTTGCGCCACTCACTCACTCACAGTCAGAACAAGAGCCATACTTTTTTTTAAATTTAAGTTACATCCTCCTTGGAGTACAATGATGTAATTATTTTTAAAATAAGTTAATCTCCGTTTGACAGATACATTCGAATGGTAATATTTTTTTTTAATTGTAAGTTCATATCCCATTGGAGTACATGATGGTGATGGTAGTGAAATGTCGTTTGTGGTGTGTGCAGGGCGCGTGAGCCGCACGGTGGCGAGCGACGGTGTGGGCTGCCGGCCGCGCTGCGGCGCGGCGACGGCCCGGGGCGAGTTCCGTTCCTGGGCGCCTCAGCTGGGGCAGCGCGCTCTCGCCTGCGCCCCGGCCAGCTTGCACCACTGGGCCATGGTAGCGCGCGGGCCGCGCTC